GATAGTCCATGAGTGGCAGTTCAGCATAGTACAGTAATACCACCCGGTTAGCCTCTAGGTGATCTTATGGAACACACATTTCTACAAAGCCTGTTGTAACCTGTATAAAGTATACTGAATTAGTGGTTGCTAGTACAGAATTGGTATGATAAAAGCATACCTGCCTGGTAGTTAAGATACCTATAGGGTAGGCAAAAACCCTTATATGAAGATACTGCCAGATCAGGCAAATAATGTGAGATAAAAGTACTGGAGGAGGTCCACATACCAGTCTGTACATTGTCCTCCAGTTGGCAATTCAACCAGACTGCTAAGGACAGAGAAATGTGACAAATCTGATTAGACATGACTTTCAAAAGACTCCTCACCTTCAAAGAGAGCCCAAAATACAAAGTCATTGTCTAACATCTCTAAAGATATTAGTGCAGGCAAAAAACCTTCAAAACCCTCACTGAACACGACAACAATTGAAATATGATCAGACATAGAAATGAGAAACAGTAATCACAGATGAATCATGGAAAAGGATTTATCCCCTTCCCTGTCAGACAGTGTCTTGGGTAAGAAAAACCAGTCTGAGGATGCAGATAGAATGAGAAAGCAGTCTGTGGACAAACAGTGCAAACAACTCTGACCGGCAATGTCTGTAGGGCAGCAGCAATGAAAAATAAACCTTCAGGTAAAGGAGATACATGGCATTTGGGAATCAAGTCACAAACAGGTGTTGAGAAAGGTCTTGTAATGTAGCCTTAATGGTCGTTTGGGACCAAGGACCCAAAGTGACTTCAGGAATCCAGAGAGTACTGGGGACTCAAAGAATATTTAGTCACGAGTATTGAGTGGTAGTCAATAAGGCACTTCTGATCAATGTCCATCGTGGGACAAAACAAAGACTGAGACAGATATATGACAACCTTAGAAATTAAACTCCTATGCTGTGCGAAAGACTGCATAACCTCTATGCCTGAAGCTTGAGCTTCTGGATAGCTGGTTGTACCATATCAGATCATGTCTGCCTCCACAGAGATGGCCTAAGAAGAAGTGGAAAAGGTGGACACTCGGAAAGGTACTGCAGAAGCAGAAACCAGGGTGTTGCTGCCAATCTGGTGCTTTCAACAGGACCTGACAATGGGTTGAAACAAGTCATATCTAGTACTCTGGGTAACATATGAATTGAGGAGAAGGCCAGGAGTTGTAATTCCATCCTTTCCTGACATAATGCATCCATTGCTAAATCCTAAATGTGTGTGGTACAGGGGGCCAAATTGCCAGTAGTTGGGTGTTCCAATGAGAGACCAACCCACCAATCAGAGTTGCAAAATAAGAGCCAATCCAACAGAACCTTGTGGAGCAGCATCTATTCTGTTGGGAAAATTTGTTTGAGTTGAGACAATTGACCTGCTACTGCAGGCATCACCCATGGAACATGGCAAGCTAGTAGGGTAATATGATAGGAGTGGTCCCAAGAAAGTAGGTCCAAGATTCAAAAACAAGGAGTCCTGGACCAAGTGCCTCGTTGATGAGAAACACAAGACACCACCATGAAATTGTCAGAGTGAAGTTTGACAATTTTCCCCTTAATAAGCCCAGACCATGAGGCATTGCCTTTTGAAGAGCAACAAGGACTAAATCATTGTGTAGAGAAGCCTCATCATCCATGCATAGACCCTGGAATTCCTGACTGTTGGTATATGCACCCCATCTCTGAAGCAAGGCATTTGTGAAGAGACAGAACTCTGGACGAGGTGGCAGTATAGGAACCCATATCTTAGTAGTGTCACAACTTAACAACCCCTCGAGATTGAAAAATGATCCTGACTAAGGAAACTTTGGAATCCAGTGAATCAATGTTTATGATCCCTTGGTTGCATAAAGACCATTAAAAGGATCTTTTGTGCTCTCATCCCAAAGGTATAAAAGATTCGAGTGATGCCCACATTCCCAAAAGAGAAATAACCATCCATGCTGTGGGAGAAGAAGAGGTGAGTAAGAGTCAGGCTTCCTGTTCCATAGCATAGAGCCAGATGGGAGTCAGCTGAGCCCAAATGAGAAACGAGGTGAAAAATAAAAAATACCCAGACTGATGACATATTGAATTGGAGCAAAAACAGATGTCTCAGCCTTGAGAATGAAGCCTGCCTTGGATGTTTCTGAAAGTAGAATCAGGATGTGATGTTCTGACAATTGACAAGATGGTGCCAGCAGTAACTGGTCGTCTAAAGAATGGTGTGTGCACAGTGTGATGGAATGGAGGTGATAAGAAAAGTCATATGATACGGCAGAACCCATGTGAAGCCAATGCAAATCCGAAGGTAAAAATCTGGAACTGCAATACCTGACCCTTGTGTACAAAAATCACCAACAGTGGTGGGACACTTCCACTATGGCAATGTGAAGATAGGAACTGACTACAACGAACATGGACATCCACAATCCAGGTAATAAAAGTCAACTCAGAATGAGTAGCTTGAGATTTTTGGAGAATCTAGATATTGATATAGACAAGAAAAATCTATGACTGATCATCAATCTCCTGTCTTATTAGACCCAATAACCGACAAGAATAAAACCTCAGGAGAACTAGCATGACTCTCTCACTAGCTCCAAACCAACCAAACTCTGACAGCCCTAGAACTAAATTCCAAATCTCAAGGATCGGCGGGAGGTGGAAACCATACAGGTTAGGTAGATAATAGTGGTGAAGATGTGAACTGAATGACTAATCTTGACTCAAGAATGTTCAGAAATTCTCAGAGCCAAGCCCCCACAGACCCTGAAGGCATACAAAAATCACTGATGCTACTAGCAGCAATCCAACCAAGCAGCAGAACCCTGATGTTGGGTGTCAAGATCCATGAATAGAGGCGGAACTATGACCCCCTACAGGAGCTGATAAAGTTCGAGATGCCAATGACAACAGGGATGAATGTAGAAGCCGACAGATGAACCAATGTGCATGCTAACAATGATTCCAGTTTGTCATCAATGAAGTTGATGATCCTAAGAGTTTTCAAACAAAGTAAAGTGAAAGGAAAATAAAAGGTTGGATTTTAGATATGTAAGTCCGTAGACTTACCATGTCCCATCAAGAGACACTGATCTATTCAGGTTAACTACAAACTCCACCTTAGAACCCCAAAATTCGAGGAGCAGATGTATTACTTGAGAGTTGGAAAATGCTTCCACCTGGCAATGGTAGGCTAATTCACAAAGTTTCAACAACCGTGTTGGATAAGGTATAACTGTCCCTTCATGTAATTGAGAGGTAAACCTCCCTGTGTGAACCACAATGTCCATGGATGGAGAGAAAACTAAAAATTTGCTCCCAGACCTTTCAGTCATCAAGTAAGGTGCAGGCTCAAAAGCAACTGGGGAAAGACCCAAAATATCACACTCTCGATGAACCAACTGAATAAAACAAATCAAAGGCAGCTTATCCCAGAGTGGCCTCCTTTTGGTTTATATATGTCATTTAAAGACTGTGTTGATTACTGTTGATTGGAACAACATTTGGTCAGGTAAGTTTGTTTTGTTTGGGCAAAGCAGCATTGGGCTATCTGTTGTGTTCACTATAGGGAATCAAACCCCGGATGCCTGCATTGCATGTCTGTAAACTCACCACGGTCTCACAGGGAGACTGAAAAGTGAATAGACTAAAAGAAGGTGCAGGAAAAAGCAAATCTAACTTCTCTCCAGAATGTCAATGATTACCCTCAATTGCAGCGTCAGAGCCCCTGGAGGAACACCACAGAATCGAATATATGTCTCCATCTCACTATGAATGAGATCACTGACAGTCTCAACCGAGAGTGTTTCTTCCCCCAAACTGTTGTGCTAGATATAAGAGGTGGGATAGGAGAGACCTGATTTGCCTCCATGCCTGAAATAATAATCCAGGAATTCATACTGTCAATTGGCTTGCAAATCGATTTATTTTTACGAAAATCAACTAGGACACGGAAAACATACAAAGTATCTCTGAACGACTGTAGTAGCGGCAAACCTGTTAGTGATGCTTTGTCAAGAAAATGTGATATCATTATCTGAATGAGGTGCTTATATACAATACTGGGACAGAGGGCTGAGAGGGAATTCATACTGTCAATTGGCTTTACAATCGATTTTTTTTTCTTAACAAAAATCAACTAGGTAACACAGAGAACGTTCAAAGTATCTCCAAACAATCTTAGTACTAGGAAACCTGTTAATGATGCTTTGTCAAGTAAAAGTGATAATATTATCTGAATGAGATGCTTATATACAGTAATAGGATAGAGGGCACAGAGTGCTGAGGTGGAGAGTGTTACAAGACAAATATCATCAAGGGCAATTAAGTGGGGTATAAAAGACTGGAGCAAATGAAGAAAACCAATGCTTAGATGGGCAAAGGAAGAAACCCTGGCAGTCAAGTAATAGCTGTAAGTGTGCTTTGGAAACCCCATTCATCTACTCTTTACTAGTGGTCATATAAAAAAAGGCAAATTTTGTATAATTATTCAAATGAATTCTTTTCTAGTAGTAGTGTACAAAATAAAACTTGTATAATTCCTTAGCATTACCAATGGCAAAATGTAAAAGATAAAAGTTATATGATTTTCCTTTCTGACTGCTATACCAATAATGAAAAAAAAGGGATAAAGTTTCTCCACCTTATTAGTGGTAAAACATAAAAGAGAAACTTGTGTACTTCTCCAGCTAACTTTTGTACCATTGATAATTAATACAAAAGGCAAATCTTGTACAGTTATCTCAATGATTTCCTTGCCACTGATAACATAAAAATAAAAATTCTGTATTTCCCCAGCTGACTTCTTTACCAGTGGAAATATAAAAGAGGAAAGTTGCACACTTCCTTAACTTTACAATGGTAAAATCAAAGAGAAAAATTGCTTATTTCTTTACTGGTAATATTGTAAAAACCAAAACTTGTATGACTCCCTTATCTCTCTGGTAGTAAAATGTAAGTAACAAATCTTACATACTTATTGCTGATAACTTACTTGTCCACGCTTCCACTGTTCTTGGAAAATATGCAGATTATCTTTGTGTTGAGCATCATGTAAAAGTAGCAACCTTCCACTACAAAGCCAGGAGTGGGGGACATTAGGATGCATTATCAAACTTTCAGCCAGTGTGAGAACCCTGATTGTTGTCTGTCCTATCCCTCGTTCTATCTTAGGATATCGACGGACAAAGTACTTCAACTGGTGTTGTTCTTGATTAGGTTTGTCTGCTTTGACTACATGCTGCTGAATAACACATGAAATTACTTCTTCCAGTCCACTAGCCAGTGTTTTTTTCTCACTATTAAACCCTTTAACTTTGTTTCTGTTTTCATTGTTGTTTTTCATATTTGGTCTTATGAGCAGATTCCGCAATGTGGAAAAATTATTATTCTGTGTATCATCTTTAGTTGACTGTTCATCAATGTCTGCATCATGATGAATAGAGGAACTACCTTCATTAATTCCCTCCTTGTGCAGATCACTTGAAGTATTCAAGGCCACATCAGCTAACCAGTTTAGAGAACCACCACTTGCTGAACCATATTCTTCTTTCTTTACCATCTTAGAAATAGCATTCATACTGGAGGGCTTACAGGTTGTATTGGTTTCAACTACCACACTTTTCAGGGTTCTAGGGCATTTCTCTGTGAAACACTTTGTTACAGCACTCATTAGTTGCTGGAAGAAATGGGTAAACTTCATTATTAATTTATTATATTAGATTGTTAAAACTTTGATGTTTTCAAACTGTAAAAGATTACAAAGACATATTGTAACCACATCATACAAATCTATGAACTGTAATTGGGGAACGAACACAATTCCTGCACAATTTACGACATCTTCAATTGAAAGAGTCAAAACGTATGATATAAACACAGCTAAACATACATATAGTACAGAAATCATTTCCAATTTAAGAACATACAAAAAAATGAATAGAAATTCACTAAGAAAAGCACATTATTTCTTGTTCTGTAACTGTGCAAATTGCTGAAAAGAATAATCACAACTTTATTGGAAGAGACTTATTTGTATGCCAGATTAATAGACTGACAGAATGATATTAACCCTTTCTTGATAGGGGATCACTGATACATTTATTATTTCCCTTGATTTCCTTCCTTCTTACTATATAAAAGCCAAGCTGCACAAAACTTAGTACAAAGACACTAAACAGTATATAGTTTCTGTTTAAAAAAAATTTCATATAATTTGATTTAGTTTTCCTATTGATTTTGAAAACAATATTAAAAACACTTTTTTACTTTTAGAATTTCAATTTTTTAAACATTAATTGATTGATGCTCATTTTAATTATTTTTTTTGATACCTTATTTTTCTTATTGCAGTAGTAACCATTTATGGTGGAACCTGAGAAAAATTTGACCCATCACAATGGTGTCAGGTCAGGCTAGGTAACAATATCTTTGCTAACAATGTTCTTTGTCAAAATCAAATTATTTCAAATAAAAGAAAAATTAGTTTCTGTGTTTTTTGAATAAAATAAACTGAACAATAATATTGAATAAATAAGGATTTGAGTCATCAGAATATTTTGCAGTTTCTTACTATACTTAATTAATACTATTGACTCTCTAAACCTTATAAATCTTACCATATGTCTTGTCATATCAGAAACTTTTTGCAGTTATCAAACGAATATAATTTACTAAAAGACAATTTTCAGAAACGAATAAAACATTTTAAAAAAATTCCCAGAATCTGTGGTCTATTCCCAAGTCTTCTAAGCTTCCCACTAAATTGCAATGTTCTTCTCTGTAGAAACTAAATCTTGTCACTTTTGCATGAAATCATAAATTATTTCTCACACCACTTTATGCACTCGATATTGATGTAAAAAGTTTATGATCTGCTCTATCCAGTGGTATTTATACTTTGCTCTTTTTTTAGTCAAAAAAATTATTGAAATAACTTCATTTTGAAATCTGATATATAGTTGTGCACTTGACACTTGAAAAGTACTCAAGCCTGGAAAGAATTAAAAGTTAATAGGAAGTAGCAAGTTAATTATTAAAAACCATTTCTTACCTTGCAGATACCATTATTTGACCTCTTCCTATCAATATTTTTATTCTTGGAATTCTGATGACATTTACAACAAGCAGTGATGTTCCATTGCTCTCTAATCTTATGTAACTTTTTTCCAACATCCCACAGTGCTGTGTCAACAATGATCTGGGTTAACATAAGTTTGTCTTGCTCATGAGGTTGTCGATTCTTACACAAAAGCCACTGGTACTCATCCCTATCCTTAGATGAACATTCTTCCTCTGTAGAGATAACACACACCTGTCTAGAGGCACTTGCATTAAACAAAATATATACTTTTATATAACTAGACAATTCAACCTTTTGATGGACATAGCCCCTTTAGTAGAAATATACACTTCCAGAACAGAAATATTTACTGTTAAATAATAGTATGAATCTTTGTATTGGGAAATCATTATTCTTTTGTAGAAATGCAATAATTTTCATACACTTGCTTTAATAGAAACAGATACACTGAAAATACTAAATTACTATTTTGTGGACATTACTATTCTGCAGAGTTATGACAATATGTGTGAATCCAGTCTGATTAAAAATATATAAAATAAACCTACCATTAAAACCTTGTTTTTATGTACATAGTCCTGTGTCCAGATCAAACAATATTAGCAGAACTAGCAAATTTTAAATGCTTTTGTTTCAGTGGACAAACCCTGACTATCAATTTCAAAAAAATACTACCATAGCCAGCATAATAAAAAAAAAAACATACAACTACCTTGGTAACCAAGTTTTTTGTTTGTTTTTTTGTAGATTCAAGCCCTCTTTCAAGTTTCAACAATATGAGTAGAGTAAGAAAACAGAAAACAGGAATAATGATGGTGGAGTTGTGTCTAACATAACTGCACATTGTTTGAAGATAAAACAAAGCAAATTCCTGACACTACTAAGAATGACTTGATGGGTTACCCTGTTCAAGAAATAGCCAAACTTCTGTTATCCATGGACACCCATTACTTTTGTTGTCATTTAACTAAGAAGGAAATCTACTTTGGTTTACTTTAATTGTATATTACTTCCCAGCACATGTAATATTGGTTTACACTTTTCTCAACCCTCTTTCTCCATCAAAATTTTTGTGTCATCTATCTTTCTCACCAAAGCTTTAGCCCACATATATACTTATCTTTATGTCACTATGATATTACCTACACATTTGCAAAAACATGTAGCACATACTTATAAAGTCAATGTACTTTCACTACACAAAGACATATCAAAACTTATCTGAAGATGATTATAGTTAGCACACTGATTTGAATGACGAATATAGCACATGGCTGACATGTGGCCAAATATTTGAAGATACACATAAACTCCAGAAAATGGAACCCTCTAACAGTTCACACTAGAATTAACAATAATATATGTTATAGCATTAAACATTACACAGTATACAACAATCCCCCCTCCCAACTGTTAAACATTTCAACTGCATATGTCAAGTATGCTATCTACTGATGCAACGATACATGAACTTACATTTATCATTATACCTCAACTGAAACATAACATCATAAACATTTCTCTTATAACAATTGCAACAGATTACCATGAAACAATACAGATTACAGATCCATACAGAATACAAAATATTAACAATACATGAAAGTTATTACAGATCCCATCTATAGGTGTTTTTCTAAAGTGTCATTATTAGCACAACTCAGGTTTTACAGATTTATCTGACTTCTACCTACTTGTTTCTACTTTTTACCCATTTTATTTTCTTTGCCAGTAGCTTTTCCACCTTATTTCTATTGCTTTTCTTAACATCTCCACTATCACCTGTTATACTTTCATTTTGCATTACCTGACTCCACTGTATCAGTGGAATCTACCTGCTCCTTTTGGCTTCTACCCTCACAAGCATCTACAAGAATAACCTGTTCATTGTCATCCATTTCCTACACTGTAGCACTACTGCATTCATTCCCTTTCCTTGTAAACCTGAGTTTGACTGAAGTGTCTACATATGATACTACCATCCAACAATCTAACTTGGAACATAATAAAACCCAACTGTTTTGTAGCAGCACCTGTCAACCATTTGCCACCTTTGGCATAATTAATTGCATACACCTTATCATAAACATTCATAACATGATACTTAGCATGCTGATCATGATAAGATTCTTGCTTATTCTGTTAATCAATCACACATTCATGTTTGTGCACAGATATGCCAAATTCAAGGGTGTATACAGCAATTAACCTATTAATAACTGAGATGGTGGTACCCCCTGTCATGGTATACAATGTAGTACAATATGTAAACAAGAACTGTGATAACTTTGTTTGGAATGTAAGATGTGATGTTTTTTCATACCATCTTTGACTATTTGCACAGCCCATTATGCCAAACCATTAAAAGAAGGTTTGAATGGAGCTTTAAGCATGTTTCATACCATTTCTATTTTAGAATGCTCAACTGTTCAATAATTGATTCTGATATTATAGGTTTATGATAACCATGTCTAACCATTTGGAATATGCATCCACTACCACTACAAACATGCTATTAAAATCCAGACTGGCAAAATAAATATATAAAAAAGACCATAGTTTATGAGGCCATTCCCACATACCATATGGATTCATAATAGCCATGTTTTATACATCTGAACATACAGTGCAAGGTCCTTATCTATACCATCCCACTATATATATATATACATAACATCTGCTTACTGCTTTTATTACAGTAATGCCTGCACTTCACTCATGTTATTCTTTAATAATAATTGATCAACTCTGTAGTGAGCTACAGTGTGCCAACCCTGTATTTTTAACACCAAATTCATCTCTACATTGTAAATATTTTTGAAATATTTCAGCCGCAATAATACTTGGAGAATCATACCATGTACCAATATATAACAACATAAATGTAACAACAAAGGATATTTGTCAGTTCATATCTTAATCTGATGTACATTTACTGGTGACTGATCAATACTGATACTTTTAACTAACAAAACATCACCTGATAAAAGCATCTCAGATTCTTTAACCTATTCAGAATATTGGCATTTCTGTATCTTCACCTGAACAGAAACACAGAGTAAAACCACAGAATGCTTAAGTTAACACCTATTTCAGTATAAGTGCAAATGTCATTTAAGGTATAACTTTACTTAACCCTGCTTTTTTTAATATTAATGGTACTACTAAATTTTTTATTTAATTAAATAATGTACCAAAGAAAAAGAGGATAATAAAACACCAAAAACAGACAATGTCCTGAAACTATCACAATTTTTCTGGATTTCTAACTATGCAAAAAGAGCCATTAAAAATTGAGCTAAGCCCATCAATGTGTTTCCCATGGGAAAAAAGTTTGAACTAGAGGCAACATTTACAATTCTCTTTGTAGAAAACAATGTAATATAATATTCACTTCATAGATTAAAACTTTGGCTTAATTGGTTATAAATAATATAGTATTAAACTTCAGAGAGAACTATTAGCAATTTCTGAAAGAGAGGATGTGACATATAGGCATGTCTAGAGGGGTCTGATTTTCTAGTTTATGGCTTTGTCACCAAATAAGATTGAAGGTTATACAAATGATGCTTTGCCTGATTGATGAAAACATTATCATGAGTAATTTAGGTTATATTTTGTACTTCTTGGAGGGATGGTAAATAAATTAAAGAAGGAATGCCTAGAGAGCAAACATTACAATTCTCATATTTGGGGAAATTCAGGATTTTCTTCATATATTGGCTTATAAAGTAAAGAATTTAAGACTTAAATAATATTAAAAGTTGGATTATTAGCTATGTTTTTATGCCAATTTTATTCATATACAATGAGAAGAAAGTATGTATGTAACTGAATGAATGTAACTCATAAAAACCTCATGACATGCACAGAAAAGGATGCCAGTAATGAGAGGGTTAAACAATATAAAAGCATGGAAAATGATAAACTGGGTTTTAGGAGAAAAAAGTATTTATAAAGATAATAAAACATATCAGAATAACAGATAAGATAAAAAATATCTAATATAATAATCTGCATTTTACTAAAAACAAGCATCTATTAAGATTAAACAGTATGAGAAGGTAAAATGAAAAATAACTAATATAATAAATTGTTTCTTACTGAAAACAAACCTCTATTAGGATGACAAAATATCAGAAGAGTGGTTAACTCGAAAACAAAAACACTAAGATGACTTGTATTTTAGTAATAACCAGCTTTAATCAAGATAAAAAATATACCAATAGAGTAGGTAAAATGAAAACAAAATAAATATTAGATTGACCTGTATTTTGGTACACACAAGCTTCAATCAAGGTCATAATATTTCTTAAGAGCAGGTAAAAATTAAAAATATTTAATATAACAACCTGTGTTTTAGAAGAAAAAAAAATCCTACCAAAATCAACCAATATCAGAACAGCAGTTAAATAAAAAATATCTCATATAATGTCCTGTGTTTTGATAGAAATAAACCTCTGTGAAGATTAAACAATACAAGAGAATGGAAAATGATAAACTGTATTTTAGGAGAAAGAAATCTAAATTAATATTAAAAAATATCAGAAGAACAGCTAAAATTAAATATATCTAATATAATAATTTGCATCTGAGGAAAAACAAGTATGTATCAAAATTAAACAATATCAGAAGAGAAGGTAAAATGAAACAAGAGGGAATCCTTAATAGCCATGGCACTTGAAATTCTCTTTGGCAGGATGAGAGTAAATTAATCTAAAAGACCTTTTTTTTTCCTTTTTATTAGTAATATTTATGTGTGCCATCAATACCAAGTGTGGGGCGAACACATACCCAATTGAATTTTATTACTCATCAGGATCTCTACCAGCCTACCCTCAAATTAAAATTCTTTTAAACAGGGTTAGAGTGATTAAACTATTAGACCTTGGGCACGGTCAAATACATCAATCAAAAGGGTTTGACCTCCTGAGTCCAAAACTGTAATTAGATTTCAAATCGGTCAAGAGATGATGGAGATTTGAGCTAAATGTTTGTGCTCTACCAGCCTACCCTCAAATTAAAATTCTTTTAAACAGGGTTAGAGTGATTAATCTATTAGACCTTGGGCATGGTCAAATACATCAATCAAAAGGGTTTGACCTCCTGAGTCCAAAACTGTAATTAGATTTCAAATCGGTCAAGAGATGATGGAGATTTGAGCTAAATGTTTGTGCTTGAAAAACTCGGAGCCAGTCTATGAGCCGCTATG